CGCAGCAAATAATTTTAAATTTTGTGTTTTTGTTTTCAGAAACTAAAAGAACTTACGCACATAAGAGAGAGGTGTTTTGTTTCTATTGTCAGAAAAGTGAATAAATATTGTACTTTTCAAAAGTCACACCTTAGGTTTTGATATATTATGATTTATTAAGGATTGGTTATGAATGTGCAGTGACAGATATGGATACTGCAATTTGTTTTCAAATATGGGGTATGAGAAAGTGTGTTCTATATGCTTCAATAATATTTAGAGAGAGAGAGAGAGATACTTCATATCATATACTATATGATTGAAATAAGCTAAAGATTTGAAGATTATGATTCCCCCATATAAAAATGTCTAAAGCTCCATTCGGTAGCCATTTCTGGCGAAATGGATGTTACCAAAAGCTTTTCTTCCCCGAAATTCAATAGAGGGAATCACTTCAGCAGAATAACTCTTACCAAACGGGCACTATATCCTACAGCTAACCAAACACACCCTAAATCCTTCAATTAAAGAAGCCAAACCCATTGGCTTATGCTTAACTAAAAAGAAATTAGAGCAGAAAGTAGCATACACACACATACCTTTGACCTTCTTGTTGATCCACACTTCTAGGAGCATCCCAGCACCGATTCCAGCAGCAATAAAGGAACCGTAAAAAGCTATAGCAGATGGTATGGATTTTCTTGGAAGAAAATAGCTCTCTGGGATTTGCCTTATTTTCTTAGGAAGCCTCTTCTTCACTGTTGCTCTAGCGCTGGGATCAGTTTTTGAAGGTTCAGTTACTTCAGTAATACTTTTCCATTCAATATCCTTCAAAGGATCTTTCTCCCCTTCTATGCCCATGATAAGACTTGACTCTGTAATACAGCAGTTGAACGATTCAATTTTACAAAATCCAAAATAAAAGAACTAAACCGTTCTAGTTATGAGTTGGTTTGACAAAAACTCTTTTCCATTTTTGTGGATCGCGAACAATCCATAATAAATTTTGTACTCACTGAACAGATTAAAGATGGTAAAAAAGAATATGGCAATCAAATTCTTGCACAAAGATCCACCATATCAACACAAACCAGTAACCACAACCGTTTAGCATAGATTCACAGACATAACAATAATTGACAAATTGTGTGGCATTAGAGAATAAACTTGTGCCCTAATATGGTACTTGATTGTACGAGAGATATCATTTTGTTCAGCTAAACTTAACGGTTATTTTAGGCTATGTTTGGAAAATGGAAACTGTTAAAGAAAGAAAAAGTTAAAGTAACATGGAACAGTTTTTTTTACTCCGTATTTGGTTGAACAACAACAACAATAAGCAACCCACTACAATCCCACAAATGGAGTCTGGGTAGGGGTACTCAGACCGGACCCCTACCAAAAAAAGATAGAGTTTTCAAAAAACAAAAAGACAGATGACATAGGTTAGCACAGTTTGGTTTTACCTTGGAAACATAAAGGAAAATCAAAATTGAATAATATTTAAAATTGTTTTCACATACTCTGCATATTCATTACTCCATAGTATTCACTGAATCGAAATCCATAAAAATCACAGGTTATGAGTTTGTGCAATATCTAAAGTTTATTCATTGAGTTTAAACCTTTTTTCATAAATAATCTTCACTTCCCAATTCTCTCTGCATTTTCTTTCCCTAATATCTTCATGAAAGACGATGAATAAGAGAAAAAGCTTCTCAACAAGAAAATTGTGACAAAAACGTCATATTTAGGTTTCATTTCGTGAAACAGCCCAACATTTAATTTCTTTTCATGCATTTAAAATTACATCTAGTACACCGCATTCAGCNATAGTATTCACTGAATCGAAATCCATAAAAATCACAGGTTATGAGTTTGTGCAATATCTAAAGTTTATTCATTGAGTTTAAACCTTTTTTCATAAATAATCTTCACTTCCCAATTCTCTCTGCATTTTCTTTCCCTAATATCTTCATGAAAGACGATGAATAAGAGAAAAAGCTTCTCAACAAGAAAATTGTGACAAAAACGTCATATTTAGGTTTCATTTCGTGAAACAGCCCAACATTTAATTTCTTTTCATGCATTTAAAATTACATCTAGTACACCGCATTCAGCCATTCATTCATACATTTAATCGAACACTTAGCAATCAAACAGAAATCAATGAGTCATTGTGCTAATAGAGTTGTCAATAATAAAATTGCAGAGCAAAGAGAGGTAGGTAATGTTTTGCTATTAAGTTTTATTAGGTAAGTAATGATAGGTAATTGGAGGTAGGTACATGAAGTTAGGTAAATTAAGGTAATAAGTTGAAAAATTGTGTTTGGATATTTATTAGGTAGGTAATGTGAGGTAAGGGGGTAACACATGCAATTTCTAAAGAGTATGAGGGTAAACGGCGCACTTAACTCGTTTCTGAAAACAAAAACACAAAATTTAAAATTATTTGCTGCGGGAATTTCTATTTTCATTGTTTTTTTTGGAAACATATATTTGATTTGGGCATGGTTCGTGTATTTTTATGTGAGCGTAAATCACGATGTGCAAACCAGGCTTAGTGACACATGTTTATATATTTTTAGGAATTGAAAAAAAAACAATTTGTTTTCTTTCTGAGAGGTGAAAACATAAAACACACAGTGTTACCACCAAACCAACCTGCTTTGAGCTAATTGCTGATTGAATGTTTGCAGAGGATGGAGGAGTGATCTGGGAATTCGGCAAATGAAATCTGCGTTATGTCCATTTCTGAAACTTTATATATCGGAAGAATTTCCGTAGTTGGGTTCTTCAAAGTGAGGGCAAGTTATGTGCCAATCTTCTATTGGTATATTTACATCCTCTTGATAAAACATGAGACACATCTTATATCTTGTAGCAACTGATATTATATGCTCTGCTTTAACTATCTCTTACCCAACGTGGAGAAGTGTTCTAGCTTCATATGGAACCCAATTTTGGGTCTTTTTTCTAAAAAAAATTCTTATTTTCTACTACCCGGTCCCAGATTACTCGTCCCGTTCAAATTTTGTGAGTCAATCTGGAAAATTTTTTACTTGCTTCGTCTGTATTTTGATTATAATTTTTTTCTTTCCTCTCGATAACTTTTGTTTATTTACACGATTTGATTAAGTATTTGATAAAATAGAATATTCTTGTCACCTCTTGTTTTGTAGGACTTTTGACATAATTTTTATATCTTATTGGTATACTAATTTGTAAAAAAAATGAATTCAAAAAGTGGAAAATTTTCCTTTCCTAACTCACAATTTGTAATCAAATTGGGGACGAATAGAGTACTCCCTCCGTCCTAAAACTTTCTTCCCACTTTCCCATTTTCTCCGTCCTAAAACTACCTTTTCATTAGAAAAAAAAAGATGACAAATGATATTAATACCCTTATGTATTTACATCAATTATCTTCTAACTCTATATTTTGAATGATTGTAAAATAAAATTTCAAAAAAATCTTTTTTAAGGAAGGTAAAATTTGAAATCAAAACCAAAAATTAAAAATGGAGAAAAGTCAAATTGAGAAGAAAGTTTTAGAACGGGCTAGATTTATCTAAAAATTGCATTGCCAGACAGTGACCGGGCTAGATTTATCTAAAAAATGGTCGTATTTGATACAGTGGCCCATTCTCACCAGGTTATCATTTTTGGGTGCGCCAAAAGATTCAATCTCACTAAATAAAGGAGACAGGTTGGATTTTCAGATTCGAGTTTGGTTAATTTTGGATTCAGTTTGGGAAATACTTGTTCTTGACCTAGTATTGTAAAGTTTGAGTTAACTCAATAATGTTTTGACATATTTTTTTAATGAAAATTATAATCACTTTCGAAAATTTAAATATTCATAAAATATATGCTCATAATTTGTTGGGTTGACCAGGATGTGATACACTTGGTCATTAGTAGTATGCATTGATGTAATTATCTAGTTTTTTCTTTATTTTTTACTTATTTGATAAAATAATGTAAATGTGTCACCTCTTATTTTGTAAAATGTTCATAATAGTTTTCAAAAAAAAATATGATTTTAATTTTTTCAGTTCCATACTAATTTTTAAATAAGTAAAAATTAAAATAACTTAGGAAAAATATCGCAAACACCAATGAAATCTTCATTTTGAGATGGAGAGAATAGGAATTTACGGGATATATTTAATTGGAGATGGAGAGAGTATTTCTTTTAAACAAATTTTAAATACACATTTTTTAGTTTTCAAATTTTTTCTTAAATATCAAACTGTTGGGTTATGGAACCCAAGGGTAGGGAAGAAGGAGAAGAGTGTGTGAGGAAGATATGAATAGTGTTGTGTATTGAGACTCCCTCTTCCCCCCTCCTTTCCCTCTTCTTGAAGAGGGTATAAATAGGAAGAGATAGGGTTAGGGTTTTTGGAATAATGGGCCGGCCCAACAGATTGGGTCGTCCTAAATAACTAATATACGAATAATGGGCCAGCCCAACAGACTGGGCCGCCCTAAAATAAATAATTAATAAATGACTAACGGGCTGGTTCAACAGACTGGACCGCCCCAACTAATATTATACAAAGTCCGGATACCCCATGTCCAGGGTATCCATCACAAACTATTACGGAGTATTATATTTTAGGAATAATTATAAAATAAATTGAATTGAAAATAATTTCATTTATGCACTAAAATTTTTGAATATAATATTATTGCAACATCAAAACTTTATTTTAAAATTAATTTTGAAATCAAGCGAATTAAAAATCATTTAAATTAAGTATTGTAAATGTTGCATTATTTTCTTTTTGGGACATAATGTACTCACTATTACATTTGTGAAAGGAGTGATTAGAAATGTTTGGTTTGCAAACAAAATGATCACAAATCTCAAAATTTACTATTTGTGAAGGTTAATAAAAAATGAAGTAGTCTAAAATAATTTTAAAATGAGATTTTTAACCATAAATAGTAAGTTTTGAATTTTATGACCATTTTGTTTCTGAACCTAACATTCCTCAACGAGTGATAGTCAAATAACTGCAAAGTTAATTCTTCTTGGTAAACGCAAAATTGATTTATTAACGTCCAAAATCCACGATTTATACCGTACCACCGGTTGTACGTTCTTCGTGTATAATCGATGTCTAATTTGGGCAAAATCCAAATGAGGGATGGAGCATCGGTGATGGCAACCAGGAATAGAATCGAAGAACAATGGTGTGATCAGATGGAGCGATTGAGCACCCGTGACTAGGAATGGGATCGAAGGAACGATAAAGCATCAAGACCACAACATTTTATTAGCCATGAAGACTTCCTAGAAAACCCTAGCTTTAACCGGCGTTACTTTGAGGCCTGGGCCAGGGCAGGAGAAGAAAGAACGCTGAGAGGCTTCACCTGGGTATTAACTTGCTTGAGAATGAAAATTATTGTATTTGAGAATGAAAACTATATTGTTTCAGAATGAACACTACGTTATTCGTAACTGAATACTCCGTATTATAATTGTAATTGAACAAATGTATGAAAATAAATATTACGTTGCTTTAGAATAAACACTATATTGATTCAAAATGAATATGACATTATTTTAAAATAGACACACTTTTACACCCAAATGAAAGTTTATTTTTTGTGCAAAAATGAGTATTCCTTTCAACCTAAAATTAACTTCTCATTTGATTTTTTACGATCTTCAATGCAACACATTGATCATCAATATTTCTATTTATATAAATATTCAATATTTTTTTCTGAAATATGCGGTCAAGTTTGAAAACTTTAATAAAAAGTCAAACAGAGAAATTAATTTTAGAACGTGAAATATTAATTTACTCCAAAATGAGTACTACCAAGTTGTACCTTACTTCTTGTACAACCGGCTCTATCATATACTCCAAATCAATTAATAAAAGGAATAAAAGTGCTCAAAAAAGGAATACTACGTAAAAGGGAATGTTCTATTTTGGTTTATGAGTAACTTCTATAAAAGGTCTCCAGTTATAGGCCGTTTTCCATATTTAGACTCTACGTATCAAATATTAATAAATTAGTCCCTAATTATTAAATTGTTTTCCACGAATGATCTTCTCTGTTAACATTCCCGTTAAAAAATATGAATAAAATTGTAAGAGTAAATTCTATAATTGGTCCTTTATAAGAGGGGGGTTTCCCTATTTAGTCCTCTATTATCAAATATTACCTAATGGTCTTTCTTTTATGGGTACCTTTCCACAAATAGTCCTTTTTTTGATCTTCTATCATGTTGGTGTTAATTTGAGGGCTAAAAGTGTAAATTCACAATGATAATATATCTTTTTTGTCATACACAATTCCAAAGGCTGTTCCGTTTACATCGTTTGTGAATTACAGTCACTTTTTATGATAATTATAGTCTACAAATGTGATCTTTTGTCAGAATCCTAGCCCACAATCATAGTCATTATTTTGTGTTATCTACTTAACTAATATCAGATCACGTCACTAGACATAGTGTTGACGTCAAATTATATGTTTAGGCTTTAAATTAACACCAACACGGTAGAATATCAAAAAAAGGACCATTTGTGGAAAGGTACCTTTAAAAAAAGGACTACGAGGGTAATATTTGATAATAGAGGACTAAATATGGAAACCCCCCTGTTATAAAGGACCAGTTATGGAATTTATTGAAATTGTAAATTCACACTTCCCCCTCCCTCCTCAATTAAGCTACTCATCGGAAAACCACCGCAGCAGTCCCATGGCTTAAATCTTTTCTTTCCCCTATCTCTCCCATGATTCCCTTTCTCTATCGATTTCCAAGAGTCCAAAACAAGCCCTTAACCCCATGGCCACTTTTCCATCGCCGGCCGCCTCCACACTCCGTTATTTGCATCACCTTTGTCGTGTGAACCCCGCCGTACTCTCCTCCGCCGGAGTTGGTCTGTGTAGTTTGGGTAATTTGTCTCTTGAGCGTACTAGCCGGGCGTCAAGGTCATGGGTTGCTTTGAGGCAGGAGGGGACCCACAAAGTGTGGGTGGGAACTGTTGCCGAGGGGTCGTCGAAAGGGGTGGAAAATGGGGCTGAGGCAGGCGAGCAGAGCGGCCATTGTTTGGAGGAATGGCCGGCGGCAAGGTTGGAGAGGAGACAGATGGATGCCTCGAAGAGAGGATTGGCCCGAGCTCCTGATTTGCTGACAATTCTTCTCGGCGTGGGGCCTAGAAATTTCTATAAGCTGGTGAAGAATGGTTTCGAGGGTGTTTTTCAACTCAAGCAGTTGTATAGAGACAATGTATTCTCAAAATGACACTTTAAACATACTCTTCATATTACTATTTTTGTTGTTTATGTGGATGACATCTTGGTTACTGGTTCAGCGCAACTATTTCTTCACTCAAACAGTACCTAGATACTACATATACCATTAAGGACTTGGGTATTGCTCATTATTGTCTTGGGTTAATGGGTTTGAACTCACTTATACTTCTGCTGGCAATGGCATCATCCTTTCTCAACGCAAATTCCCCCAAGATTTGCTTGCTGAATATCATTGTCAACATACTAAAGCAGTGAACACCCCTCTCCCTCAAAACACCAAATTTCAACATGGTAGTTGATAGGGAAATTAAATTTTCTGCACACATACTCGCCCTGACATTTCATATTCGGTACAAATTCTAAGCCAATTTATGCAGACTCCTGATGACTCTCATATGAAGGCTGCCCAACATCTCCTTCATTACCTTCTTTGGTACTATTGATCACGTCATACTTTTGAAAGGTTTGGACAAACTCTCTTCATGCTTTTTCATTGGGCCTCTTGTCCTTTTTCTAGACGATCTGTAACAGGCAATATTGATCTTCTTGGTGCTTCACCCATTTCTTGGAAATCTAAGAAATAACACACTGTTTCCAAGTCTCCATTACTTTGCATTGTGAC